TAGGTTAATACCACAACTTTAAACTGCATCTATGGCCCTACAGTATTGGCAAGTAGTCACTAGTTGGCAATTATATTGCCAACTAGTGACTACTATATGGTTGGCAACCACATCACAGCAGTGGTAAAATCCAAATTTTTTTACTACCAGTTCTGTGGGTGTGGCTTGATGGGCGTTGCAGGGGAAGGATACTGCAAAATCTCCATTCCCACCCCACTCTGGGGCCAGCCAGAGGTGGTATTTGCCGGTTCTCTGAACTGCTCAAAATTTCCGCTACTAGTTCTCCAGAACCTGTCAGAACCTGCTGGATTTCACCCCTGCATTACAGCATTGCTCTGTTCTGGGGAATGTTCACTACACAAATTGTGCTCTGAACCAACTGCAGCTTCCATATGACCTTGAAAAGTTGCTCCACATTTTGCATATTGCAGTAGTCTAAGCGGGTGGTAATGAAGGCATGTGTCGCTGTAGCAAGATCCTACTACTCAGGTAGGATTGCAACTGGATATTAATGTGGCTGGAAAAAAGCCTCCATCTGCTGCTGCAACAGAAGCAGCCAGTCTAGAAGAACCACCCACCATGGGCTTGCTTCTTCAGGAGTAAGGACATCCCATCAAGAGACACCATTGGAGCAAGCAGAGAATTCAAATGGACAAATAGCAACTCTTTTTATTAGGATTCCATTTAAGTTGGTTCTCACCCATCCAGGCCTTCAAGCCTCCAGTCACTTGGACAGGACTCCAACTGCATTTCCTGTCTGGCCTGGAGAACATACTTAACCCCAAATATTTGGGGTTAATTACCTCTTCTGGTGGTTTAATGTAAATGGTAAACAGCAAGGAGCAAAGAACTGACTCTTGTAACAACCCAGAAAGGAAAAGCCATCAAGCCAATCTCTCCTGCCTCACAACTACCAACCAGTAAAGTGAATCACTGCAATGCACACACACATACACATATATTTACCAAAACCAGGAACTAGCATGCTACTTAAGAGTGAAGGAACTTTACTCTTAAGTAGCCTGAAAGATGGTTTCATCCAAACAAAATTTAAATTATAGGCATATTCAACCAATATTGCTATGCAGATATACCTCAGGACTGATGCTACATTAAGGACAACATCCAAAACTTGTTTGTATAAGCAACCTTTCAAGCCTCATTCAAGGAGATCATAAACTGGCCCTGAATATTTTGGCACCTGAAGCAAAAATCTAAAGTAAACAGTCAGGGTTACACGATAATCTCCTCAAGTGATTTAAGATTGAGCTGGTTTATCAGCATGTTATACAAGGACATAGAGTGGATTCTGTTAATTTTTAGAAAAATAAGTTTGTGAACTACTTTCAGAAGTAGTTCTAGCTTTCAGAAGTGTGTAAACCTCTAGGTGGGGGAACATTGCCCCAAGTCAAAATCTCCAGACTGGGACTGTCTTAATCAGCTTCCTGCTTATTCAATGTTACTGGTGCCATTTGTGGCAAGAATGGTAGTTGGAATTGACCTTGTTTGCATACTTAAACAAATGTTTTAAATGCCTGGAAAGAGAGCAGGAGATGTGCTGATAGGAAGCCATGGGATGCCAATTACTATGCTACAGCTCTGGCAATCTTTTCAGAGAAGTTAAAAAGCCCTGTCAGATGCAATTTCTCTAGGTCTAAAGGCACTTCTGTTGGAGACCATTTGCAAAGCCAATAGGATGCTGATGCACTCTGTGCAAGTTCCTCTGAGGCATGATCTGAAAGTGCTGTCAATCAAATGAGAAAATATTATGTTTAGTAAGTTGCAAGGACACAGTAGAATTGTAACATGCTTGATTCATCTTCAACATTGCAAAACAAAGTAAACACATTTTCCTACTAGTGACTAACCACATCTTCATAGCTTCACAAGTGGAAATCACTTGTGAGGAAATTACACATGACCCACATGCTGCATTATAGATGACATATCCCAGAACGGACTAGAAGGAACTGTTCCTGCATCATTAAAGGACAACACGGAATTTAAGCTAGCAGCCAATACATACCGTTGGTTTTAGCTATGTTCAATCCTATAAGATATCAGATCCTTCTTGATAGCTGCCAGCAATAAATCCTGGGTATACTTCAGTGTTTTAAAAACACAAACAACAGAATCCTACCAAGTAATCCAGAATTCAGGCTGTCCAAACTTACTTACTTCCAGATATGGTAGCTTCAGCTCCCATAATCCCCTGCCTGCACATGATCAGGACACAAGAAAAAAATACACCAAATAATGTCCCATTTTATCTTAAATCATTTCAGTGCCTACTATGAAAATCTAAGACCACAGATATAGAAATGTGCAATACAATTATATATGTGTACACTCACAAGAAAGTCCTACTGACATCAGTGAAGCAATCTGACAATAATCCAGTGTGCACAAGATCACAAGGCGATTCTTGGGCCCTTCCAAAATCCCTCCAGAGGGTGAGCCAATCGAACTCTGGAGGTTATGACATATATTCAGTGGAAAGGGAGAGTTGCCGGAAATAAGGACATAACAATAAGAGCTCTTTAAACAAAGCTTCCACTACAGTCTTATAAAATAAAGCCAATAATACTTTATAACCTCCCTCTCTTCTGAAAATGATTTTTAGAAATGCAGGAGGAGGAAGGAAAGAAATGCATGTTCTACAGTCTTCCTTTCTACTCATAGAACACTTATTGTTATGCCTTATCTTCAGGGAATTGCATTTTGAAAAGTGGGAAGAGGAAGACCTTGATATGTTCTTTATTTTTCTTAATGACATTGCTAGAGGACATTCATGATAAAAGAATAAAAGGGAGGTAGACCATGCAGCCACTGCAAAAGCTTATCTTATTGATTTAAGGCACAGTGTAACCTACTATTACCAGGTGACTCTGCACGTATTAGCGTACAAGAGAAAAGATAGTTAAATCAACAAACTGTTAATACCCCTTGATGATATCTGGAATTCTTTTGCTTACCTTAAACAGTCTTAAGAAAATCAAAACCCAAATTCAACAAGGTTGCAGACAGTGATATTCCAAAACTATCTGCCTTGCCCACATTCAGTGTTGATCCAAATACTGGGGCAGGGTCAAAAAGACAAGATGGTAAGCACCCATGGGATAAAGCCTTGTCCCTTCTTCATGTGTGCCACATGCATGCAAAAAAGGGTGGACATTCAATTATGCAAGTGAAACCAGCTTGACTTTTCTGACAAACACTCCACCCAGATGCCCCTGGCTCTGAGACAATCTTTTTAGCTGTCCTCAAGCCCTGTTGCCTTCAGTCCTACCCTACCCAAAATACTCAAAGGGCACACCTGAAAGACACTGGGTTTAACAAAGCAACCACATCTGACTCACTGGACTTAAGAAAAAATTTGGGAATTAAGAACGGTTAAGCAGTGGATTAGTCTATCTAGATCATCATTGGACTTCATCTTGCTGGAGGTTTTCAAATATAATCCTGCACTCAGCACTGAGTTGACTTATATGATCCCTTCAAATTGTTACATTCTATGGTTCTGTGTAACACTTACTACATCTTCCAGGTGCCAATACTGGAATTAAATTTGCCTTCCTCATGTATTTTACGGTAGTTATTTAATTACATTTATCAACCACTTTCCTACTTGTATCAGCATTTATGGCAGCTGTAACCAAATAAACAAATACACAAAATTCAAAGCATAAAATCAATACAATTAAAATCAGGCATAATAGCTTCTATAATACCTTGTAACTGCATCCCTACGTTCTGTTACAGGTAGTCCTCAAGTAACAATGATAATGGAGCCTGCCCATTATGATTATAAGTCGTAATGGTCATAAAATGGGTTGGTCACATGATTTTACAATTTTTTTTTTTGCAGCAGTTGTTAAACATACCGGGTGGTTGTAAGTGTGAGCTCTGCAGTCAAGTGAACACTATAGTCATTAAGCAAACCCATTGTTTGCTGCAGTGCATTTGTGCTTAAAACCAGAAGTTTTGAGCAAAATTGCAGTCTTACGATTGTGGGACTCTTCAGCCATGTTCCGAGTGCCAAAAATGTGATCATGTGATCATGGGGGGGGCTGACCATTGGAACTTCCATTTTTTTCAGTCCCCTTTTTACGTACGTCATAACTTTCAACAGTGCTAAGCAAATGGTGGTAAGTCAAGACTACCTGAACATGGAACTAGCTTTAATTGATAACAAGTAGGAGATACCTTGCCTGTGCCTAAGGCTTTATTGGTCCTATTTTGTTACTACATAAATAGGACTCACAACAAAATACTTCCTTCTACAAGAAAGGAACTTCTTACACAGTGGAAGAAAGGCCTACTTCGGATCCTGTCAGTCAAAAATCTCTGATTATCAGGATCCAGAAGAAGAGATTTATTTGCTGCAGCACCCATTCTTTGGAACATCTTATCTTCTAAGGTAAGATCTGCCCCCACCCTCCTATCCTTCCACAAGTGCCTGAAGGCATGATTCCACCAGTTGGCCTGGGGACTCAGTTGGGGGAGATCCACACTGGAGGCGGCAGCTGGATTAATGACCGATTCTAACTCCCCTCCTTGCTCTCCACCTGCCCATCTTTTTGGTCACCATATTGGTGTATTCTCGTTGTGTTCTTTTTCATTGTTTATTTTATGGTTTTATTATTTTACTTTGGTTCTGTTTACACGCCTTTCATTTTATTACTTTTTATTTTTGTAATCTACCTGGAGTAGCCCCTTGGTGAGGTAGTAGGTGGCAAATAAATTTAGCAAACAAACAAATAAATAAGGTTGCTTCCTTATCAAAGTGCACCTGTGTCTGCTTCCAACAAGCCAACAAAACCTTCCTTGGGGAATGAAGCAAGACATTGTATTCTTTCTCATTATTCCCATTTTCAGCTTTATTGTGCTTGGCTTTTTGGTCCAGCTCACATTCAACCTTTATGGCATTGAGTGTGCTTGGTGCTCTCCCTTGCTTTTGCCAGGCACTAAGGAAGCTGGTTTGGAACAAAAGCCATTACCTTTTCTGCTTCTTCTCGACTCATTGCCAGGGCAAGCTGAAGCTGGAGCTCTTCTTCACCGGTAGTCTGTGGCCTTGCCTGCTCCAGGTCAGAGTTGAACCGAGGTGATGATGAAGAAGCTGAAACCGAAGATAAAAACCAATTAGTAGGGCAAGTAGAATGAAAGCCATCCAAAATGTGCTCTGAAAGAAAGTCCAGTTGTTTCTATAATGCTTTCTTAGAAAATGGGTGCACAGTCATTGGTGATCTACAGAAGCTCCCCTGTAAGAATATTTTTTTTAGAATAGAATAACTTTATTGTCACTTTTATGCACACTCATAAACAAATCAGCATACATTAAAATGAAATTTTGTTGCATACAGCTCTCAAAGGGTCGCCCCCTCCAATATACGCTACATAAACATAAAGCTATCCGTTAATTATTAATAACAATTTATTAAATATACAGGCCACCCAACTCCCAGTGACTCTTGAATTGTGTAGCATAAGCACTCTGAATCCTGCCTCACTTGAATAGGGAGAAAGAGATGGAGAGAAAAAGACTAAGAGAAAGAAGAGTGGGAGACAGAGGATTGGAAGAGGGAAGGTCAGAAGAGGAAGGAGGAATTATTTGTAATTTTTTTTTCAAGGAAATGCTGCCCTCAAGAGAAAATCAGTCCTCCATCCTGTCCTAAAAATGTTTTTTACAATAATCTCTTTCTGTGCTGATGGTTGTCTCCATTTTCTGCCTACCAACCTTCTGTGTTTTAATTTCATATGATGTCCAACAGTCGAAGACTATGACTAACCCACATGCAGTGGGCAAAAAAATGCTTCATAATGGGAATTTTATGCAGTTATATTTTATTTTGAAAACTCCAATCTACTTGTGTTTCTATAGCAACATTTTCCTTGAGTTTGGTATGGGGAACAAAAAAAAAAAAGTACATTGGTACCGAACTAAGATTCGAAACAGCAGTATCTGCAGGGTGTTGCTGGTTTTGTCAGCAGTGTTATAGGGTCACAGCACAAGCCCCACTCCTTTGGGTCATATTTGTGATGTTGTGAGGCACATATAAAAGACACAAGCGTTTGTTACAATGCTGAGGGACTCTAATCCCCTTTCCCCATCCACACAAAATTCTGTCAGAAACTGTGAGTGTGTAGGATTTAAGGCCCATACTGTATGCCTAAAAATGTGTTCTAGGCTCAAAGGATAATTTTTCTTTCAACATCTGGCATGCTAATACTGCTAGTGCTATTCCCCCCCCCCCACGTCCACATCAAAGTCATAGAATTAAAATGCAATTCTCTGTTAGTTTATTCAGATGGCAACCCCACTTCTAAGGACTTTCTTTTAGTCACGGACTTTTACCTCAGAAGCCTCACTGAATATATTCACAATGACTTCTAAACAAAAAAAAAATGTTGTTAGTTACAGCCACTCAAGGAATCTAGGAACTCAGACATTTCAATATCCACAATGCTCTACAGGATGCATGGTAGAAGTGGTTAATTATAAAACAGATAGTTTTGTACACTATATAGAAACATTGAGCTTTTTGAAAATTAAAAATTTTGCAAGCTTACTACTTAGCTTGCAAAATTTCAACAACTGCAGTCTTGCAAGATGAATATTCCCCTTGCTTATTTTATGACTACATCAGCATCTGCTCAAATTCACGGTTCCGAATGTCTTGTTTATTTTTCGATTAATAACACTATACAGTACTGGGGAAAAAGAGAAAGGAAAGAGAGACAGCGTGACAAGAAGAAAGAAAGGAAAGTCTGGGGAGCTGATCTATTTCCCACACAGTTTTGTCGCTATTTCTTAATGCCTAAATATACCATCCATTCCCATTTCATTATTACAGTCTATATCATTTACTGGGGCAGAGAAGCTGATTGTATGAATTACTACTTAAGCTTTACTAGCCACTGGAACATATATCACAGCCAAAAGATCCATTTCATAATATACAACATTCTTAAAAAGCAGTTCTTTGCAGGAATTGACAGATAATGTAGATAATAAAACAGAGGATGACAAAACCTATGCGATTTATATGCTTTGAAGAGTATATATGCTCAGCATTTGCCAGTAAGAAGAATATGAAAAAAAATACTCATGTGGCTGTATGTGATACCCATGAGTTGTGATATTAATAGTTCTTTTTCTTTAAATTCAGTGTCTTGTAAGAAGTGCCTTTTAAGACAGAACATATAATTTCCACCTAATTTTCTTTTATTTCCCTAACTCTCCTGCTTAATCTCCACCCTTAGGCAAGGGGAATCTGTGACCCCCTAGATCTGTGATGGCAAACCTATGACGTGTCAAAGGTAACATGCCATGACATTTTTGGTGACATGCCAATGTTTACCAACACCTGACAAAAGCATGGCCCATTCTCGCATGATTTTCAGAGGCTGTAGAGGCCGCATGAGAATGGAGCATGCTCTCCCCCAGCCTCCAGAGCCTCTGGAAGTCACACAACGTCTGAAAATCATGCAAGAATGGACTGTGCTTTTGGACAATTTTCATAGGCTGTAGAAGAGCATTCTTCAAAGTCACTTCAAGAATAAAAGCCTTGTGGGTCTCAGGTAGGCCGCAGGAGCCTGTGAATAGAAAGAGAACACTGCCTGGAGGTAAGCAGTGCATGGCAGACCCTGGGGGAATGCAAGGCTGCAGGGACAATGCCATCTTGGGGAATGGCTTTTTGAGTGGCAGTAATGGTGTTGCAAGGACTAAAGTCACGGTCCAGGCCTTTATTTCAGGCCCAGCGTCAGCCCTTCCTCTAAGTGCTGCTGTTCACAGTGGTCTACATAGGGTATGGGTGGGGGGTAGGAGATCCTTCTATTTTGTTCAAGAAAGTATGACACAATGGCAGAGTCAATTTCTAAATTTTTGACCTGCCGAGCCCAAAGGCTCGTCATCACTGCCCTAGATATATAGAATTCTCAGCAAATGCAGTTACCACATAAAAGATGGTAAAAGATGCTGGGAATCTTAGTTAAATACTACCTAGATAGCCATGTACCCTTCTTACAATTTGGTCCTCTGAAAGTTTTCAAAAATGCAAAATGATAGGGCTGTACACCATGCCACTTCCCCATTCAATCTTATATTCTCCATGTGATCCAGAAATATTTCAAGTGGAAATATACGTAACTTTGTTCAGCTAAACATACTTTTAGATCCCTACAGGATCAGGGAGTCCAACCTATTGGATTTATCTAGGATTCTTTAGTTGCATTCAACCGAATGAAACTATACTTTATTCAAGGTTGTAAAAGCTATGTAAAGACCTATAAAAATTCTGCTTAAGGATGGTAGAAACAGGGAAGGTTTGGCTGTAGTTTCATAAAAGATACTGGGGAAAATGTCAAGGAATAAAAAAATCTACACGCTTGGAACAGTTTCTATCCATGGGCCTTTTGAATCTGTGCCCATTCCTACTATCAGCAATCTGTGACCCTCAAATATTACTTGGTACTTGCCAAGTTTCATTTCTCAAGCTCCATTGCGATAAATGGTAGAAATTTGGAAACATTTCAGGCAGTGTTGCAAACAATTGCCTCCAAAAGCATATGCTTACATCTTTACATTGCAGTGTATTGCAACTGCTGTTCAAGATGTCTGCGAACTTTATTACGGGAACACAAGTCCCCATGAAAGCATTCACAAATTAGATTATACGTTTTCAAGTTTCCTTTGGCAAAGATGACTTGACCTACCAGAGAAAAGGTGGCACGCCCACATACCGTTGCAGTACTCACAATTAAAGGAGGATGGAGAACCTCTTGATCTGCTGTAGTCATCGCCATACTGTGATGCCCGCCGTCCATAGGCAAGCTGGTGGCTGTTGCTATTGCTGCTGCTAATACCCATCCCTTCAATGGACATCCGCTCTTTGGTTTTCAAGGCGTAGGCTCTTTCCTGCTTCAGTCTGTCTTCATCCTTCAACAGGCTCATCACCTGCTTCACCTTTTCACGAACATTGATGCCTTGATCTTTGCCATCACGGTCTATGTACTGGAACTCCTTTAAAGTCTGAATGGTATACAGATTCTCCCGGCACTGATGAGCCACCTTCTCTGAGCCTGTTTTAATGAGGTAGTCCAGAAGAGTCAGGGCCTTGTAGACATGACGCCAGTTCTTGCCACTGTCATTCAGCCGTCTCCAGATCATACCCATGACTTCTGCAAAAGCCACTGTGTTGAAGGTCAGGTCAGCAATCTCAGACATTAAAGAGCTGGGGGGTCCCCAGGGGTCATTGGAGGTGGCCTCACGCACCTTGATTTCTGCTTCAGAATAATTGTGCACAATGTTTTTCACCTGTCGACGCAAGGCGGAGGTCGTCATGGCAGAACCAGAAAAAAGACCAAACCTTGCAGGAAGAAATTATCCAAAGAAGAAAACTTGAGAGGCCCCAGGGAAGAATCAAAGCTTCAGAGTGATTGGTTAAGAAGCGCTAATTCTTCAGTTTCCACAATGAGCTAGAAAACAAGTAATGGAAACTGTATTAAAATTATGGTTCAGTTCAGTCATTTTAGCTGATCAATTGTTTTATTTTATCCAGTCAGAAAAAAAATGCTATCTATCCTCCCCCTCTGCTCCATTTTTCTGCTGTATGTTATGTCTTCAAAACCTAGAGCCGTTCCAGATAGTTCTAAGCCAACCATGAATTATTCAGCTAGAGTATTTGGGCAGAATTTATATAGAAAACTCCTTTTGTTCCTGAAATACCTCTATGCTATTTTTTTTTCTGAGTACAATTCTGCACGGTGGGCATACTCCAGTGCCCTCTAAATTTACTTTTGTCACCTTGAGGGCCATACAGTACTCTAAAAATGGGTGGGACGAAGCCCTGCGGTTCTGAAGAGATTTGAAGAGTTTTAAAGAGGAAATGAATGTTTTAAGCCACTGCATTTGTTTTACCTTTTATCTCCACCCAGTAAAAATCTTCAAAGATGCATGGTTAGAAAGGAAATTGGCAGCCCGTGTTAGCTTTGGTAATATATTACCTCATGATTATGATTTTTTTAACACCCAGTTTTTTCCCCCCAAGAACTTATCTTAACTCACATGGTGGTCTCTCCTTCCTCTCCATAACAATCCTACATCATAGGCTGAGAAAAAGAGATGTTCATAGTTATCCAGGTACCTTCAAGATTGAGTAATTGAGGACTCAAATCTGGATGTCACCAGCCCAAATTCAGCCCTTTAGCCACTATGTTATATTAGCCTTCAGCAGGATGGGCCATATTACCATAGAACTGTATTTCATGAGCAACTATAGTGGGAAAAAATTTTCTGAAAGAAGATAAGAAAATAGCAAGTCCTTGATGTTACAGAAATACATATCAGGAAATCCTCGACTGTGAATCTCAACAAGGACAAGGACTGTATATGTACTGTGATATGCCGAAGCCAGCCCATACTGGTTCATGAAAGCCAATTGTTACATTTTTATGGAATTTTGCAAGTCACACGGATTAGCTGTTTGGTGGCTAGCAAGATGGGGAAGTGGACCAGAACTGGTTGTTATACATTTACTGGCACACCATTGTACTGCACATAATAGCTTTCTTTCATAGTAGGCAGTCTCAAAAAGAATTATTATATTATCCACCAAAAGAGATCTACATGCCAAATTAAGGATCCATCTGTGCAAAGAGTGAGCTGTGAATAAACACTGCCATTTACACTATGATCAAGGTCTCACTGAAATGATTGAACAGATTTCTGCTTCAAATAAGAATGCCAATCTTTATCCGAAGCCCTTTTTTCATATTGTGAAAGCTGGATGAAAACATATTATGGTTTTCTACTTTAGGTTTTTCTGAGTAAAGTGGATAAGATATCCAAAATAGTTTGGAATCAGGTTTACAGGTAGTAATAGACATCACACCAAATCATTTGGCATCTGTATAATTCAACATAGCATGCATGTTGTGCGTACATATTCCATGATACTTCTTTTACTTTACAAATCTAAAGTATCTGAGAAAAAAACCAAAGCATGTATTCAAGTTTCCTCAATGTAACACAAAAATAAATTATGATCTATAAAAGCCAGATTATGTTTTACACTCCTAAAATCTTACAAAATACAGTACAGCTAAAACATTTATTTAAAAATCGGCATCTTTTTTTATTGTTAAAAAGGCTAAATTCACTATGAACATTTTTAAAATAAGAAGACATACGAGTGAGAAAAGGTTTTTTTAAAAAAACCTTTCCTCAGTGGTCAAGGTCAAAATTCCCTGTAATGTTAAGACTACAGTTCTCAGCATTCATCAGGCAGCTGTAGGACAATGAACTATGGAAGGCTGTATTAAATATCTTACTAGCCTGGCACATTTTTACTTGACCTGGTAAAGCACATACCGTAACAGTTTCATTCAAATACTATACAGTAAAAGGGACCATATTTCCCATTTTTATCTCCAAGTTAGTTCTCCTGTAACTTGATTTCTTTCTCTGTATCTCTGACTTCTGAAACTTTATTTGCCATTTGTCATTTCTACATGAATCAAAAGATAGGGATGATAACTGTGCAGTCCCACACACACACACACATACATGCTACCCATTGAATTTTATGTAAGTCAACAATGAGATCATGAATTCATACAGACATCATTGCAATGGAAGTGATAGGAGATTCTGTAACACTCAGCCTTATTCAAAGACTTATGCCTAGTTTTCTCAGCTACTAAATAGTTTTTCACTGTATTTGAATCCTGCCAAAATTAAATTCCAAATGATTCACAATATAATCAAAAAACATGTTAAACTCTCACTAACATCATACCCAGCAATAAGATAAAATCAGTTAACACACACAATCAAATTAAGAGTGGCACTGGACTGGTGTTCATTTCCAAAACCTTGTCAGAACAACCAATTTTTGAGCAGTTTTCTGAAGTTTTTTTTTTTAATTTGATTTATATGCCGCCCTTCTCCAGAGACTCAGGGCGGCTTACAATGCGCTAAGCAATAGCCTTCATCCTTTTGTATATTTATACAAAGTCAGCTTATTGCCCCCACAACTGGGTCCTCAATTTATCTACCTTAGAAAGGATGGAAGGCTGAGTCAACCTTGAGCCTGGTGAGATTCGAACCTGCAGTAATTGCAGGCAGCTGGTCTTAATAACAGGGTGCTTTAGACCACTGTACTACCAAGGCTTTTTACCAAGTTTACCAGAGTCATCTGTATCTCAGATGAGAATTTATTTCCCAATATCAGAGCAGCGATGAAAAAGCACCGTATCTGAGCACTCTTCATATCCACAGCCAAGGATTCATAGATTTGTATGCACATACATGCATTAAATATCCTAAGCAAGGATTGATAACTTGTCACTTTTTTTTTTCAAAGGTATAGATAATACATTGGATATGAAGAACCATTCAAATTGTTGCTGCTTGAAGAAGAACTTAAGTAAACATTTTGGGTTTCTTGGATTAAAAAAGAAGCAAAATTGATGTACTAAGCTCCCAGTAAAAACAATGCATTTATTTTACCAAAAAGGCCTGCACAGGAAAAACTGAAAATTCTTCAACCTTCATGCTATCTAGTGACACTCTCATTATTGCCATACCCTAGCAGCCTTGGAATTAAAAAACAAAAGCATATCCTCTACCCCAAAATTTAGCTCATTCTGTCCTATTAAGAATGTGGGTTCATCTCTCACTTAGTGACTTAGTAAACAGTGTCAAATTTCTGGGCTCATTCTCACATCCTACTGCACAGACAATTTATATACAGGTGGTCCTCAATTTACCACCACAATCGAGCCCAATATTTCTATTGTTAAGTGAGACATTTGTAAAGTGAGTTTTGCCCCATTATGTGACCTTTCTTGCCACAGTTGTTAAGTGAATCATTGTAGTTGTTAAATTAATAACGTGATTGTTAAGTGAATCTGATTTCCCCATTGACTTTGCTTGTCAGAAGGTCCGTGGGATACATGCAGCACATGAAACCACACCCCCTCCAGTCCATGGAAAAACCTCTCTCCACAGAACCAGTCCCTCGTGCCGATTGGGGGCCTCTGATCTAGGTAACTCCATGAAACTGGATGAAGAAGGCAAAAGTTGATGTCTGACCTCAGGAGACTTTACTGCTGACTCCAAGTTTGGTAATAATTTAGAACCTTTCTCAAAACACATTGCCCATCAACTGATTCATGTCTCTATCATTACTCTTTGAAAAATATCTTACATGACAGTTATTGGGGCAGCTTGAATGTTGTTGAAAATACAAGTATATTAATTGTAAAATCTAATCGTCAGCCAGTAAGAATCAGATGCTGTCATTTGATCTTCAGTCATGAGGTCTCAAATTTTCTAAGTAATATTTCTTTAGTCTATATTTGGAAGATTAGAAAATAGTTACATCTTTCAAAAGTTTGAATCTTTTTTCATAGTTGGGAGACTAACAAGTAACATTTTCCTTTGGATTTTTTTTTTTTAATTTGATTTATATGCCGCCCTTCTCCGGAGACTCAGGGCGGCTTACAATGCGCTAAGCAATAGCCTTCATCCTTTTTTGTATATTTATACAAAGTCAGCTTATTGCGCCCACAACTGGGTCCTCAATTTACCTACCTTAGAAAGGATGGAAGGCTGAGTCAACCTTGAGCCTGGCGAGATTCGAACCTGCAGTAATTACAGGCAGCTGGTCTTAATAACAGGGCGCTTTAGACCACTGTACTACCAAGGCTCTTTAACCAATAACGAAACTATGGACAAAAGATCTTCAAATTCTGTATCTGGGGATCATCTGAAATCTTAATTATGTGTACCTCTTAATTGTAACCTCTTAGAGGAGGTTATAGGAAATTCATTGCAATTCAGTAGTTTTGTTTTCACACTTTGCTTTCTTAAATTACTCAGAATTAAATTTACTCGTATATAACATTATTTTCTCCATGACTGAAATATTTTATAGTTTTATAGTCACAGGTAAAACGGCAAGAGAAGCTCCATCTTGCTCCACATGCCCCAAAATAATAAGACCTTCCCAAAAATAAGGCCAAGCGCTTATTTCGGGGTTCAAAAAAAATATAAGACAGGGTCTTATTTTCAGGGAAACAGTATGTATGACTCCAAAAACAGAACAAAAATGAGTCATATCCATTTTTCTCTAGGGCAACTCCAACTTTGGCAACCTACAACCTAGGTATATACCTCCATCCTAACCCAAGGTGAGACATGAGATATCCTTCTCCACCCAAAGGAAATGACAATGAGTCAGGGATGCAGAATCTGGAAATACATGGCTAGCACAGTTTCTTTTAAAAGTCATTTCCCTATATTGATTTCCGTATACAATCCAACCCACTTACTGTTTTTAGAACATAGTGATGCCAGGAAAAATGACCGAAGCCAAGCACAGCATTGTACAGAATTGGTACACACCACCAGAAGTAAAAAGAAAAAGAAAAAAAAGCCACATATTTGCATAGAATAAGAATAACATGATGCAACTAAATTGACTGGTGTTGGAACTTAATATACTTAGTATGCTACAGAATCACTGGAGAATGGAGAACTCATAGCAAAAGCTAACATACTTGCATTAGCTGCAAAGTTAATGACAGGCCACACAAAGTGGCCATGATGACTCAGCTGTTGAGAGCCATCAGCAAGTTGTCACAGTTTCTAAGTTGTTGTATGACAGCAGCCCTATGGAACACAGAACTCTGGGACTGAGAAGCATCGAGTATTTATATGGTAGCCATAGCAGTGTTTGCTAATAGTTTAGTGCCATAGTTAGTGTCAGCTAATCCAAAAAGAAAAGAAATTGGAAATGGCAAGGTTTGGGGTGTGCTCCTTATAGAAAAATGCAAGGCAGGAAAATAAAGAAATGCACAAGGAGGAGGAAATAAATACAGGGATCAAAAACTATATAAAATTGTGTGGGAAAGAGATTGATTTATATACTGTGTTGGAAAATGACAATGGTCAGATTGTTTGTCCTTTGGGTCCAGCAGATTTTCAGGAATGTCTTTCATCACCTTTTACACTTTTAAAAATGCTAAGGATTTCTCCACAGAAACAGCAAGGATATTGCTGGCCTTCATGGGAATTTCAAACCATCAAGGCCCATGATGGAGGCATTTTGGAAATTGCACATCTAGAAGGTGGTAGGTTCTCTATCCCAACTTACAGAAATCTGCATGCAAGATGTGCGCTTCCTTCCCTGCTAGCATGGAGGAAAATTCCAAAAGATATTGGCAACGGGTTGAAGAACAAGCTGGAGGCCAAATGAGGCCTTGGCCATAAGCATGCTGGGAAATAAATGAAGAAAAGGGAGTGAAGTATTGAAGTTTGAACCTGAAAGGCCAATCACAGAGGAGCATCTAAAAGAGAGCTTGAGGCTGCAAAAGCAACTAAGTTGCAAGCTGGATTCATGAGCGGTATTGGTGGCTCCCAGAAAAAAGCAAATGAGAAGAGGTGGAAACCTCTTGATGACCTGAGCAGCATCCTACCAAAGAAGATAAACAACTAACTCCAGAGATCTCCTGAGTTTCTAAAAGGCTATGATAAAAAGTCTACCTCTTATTCCTCCTGAAGCAAATACACTATTAGTGCTTTTGAAAAATAATCATTGGAACTTGAGGAGTAGGGTCAGAGTTTTTTTTTCTAGACAATAGAAGAGAGCCAGGCACAAGGAGTATTGAGTACACATCCATGTTAGAAAACTTCTAGAGAGCTTCATTCACAATATAAAGAAAATCTAGTAGCAAATACCTGGGATGCAGGCGTTAATGTGGTACCACCCCAGTTGTAAGGACTGCTTTGGACTGGCATAGACCAAAGCAGAGCACTGGAACATGGGCAGTGTTGGTTTCTTCCTATGCCCTGAGAATGTGCAGAATATCTTGTAATTTTAGCTTGCATACATCCAAGATTTAGGAGGGGGGAGGGGAGAATAATGTTTCCACCGAAGGGGCCAGCACGAGCCTTGTTAACATGTCATTTTTAGCTCTAGAAGCAAGAGGTAGGAAAGAGAGAACGTCTTCACCTATGGAGTGCTGCCAAGGGTGTTTAAAAGCAGCAGGTTTTATTGAACACAATATTCCCAGAACGCAAAGAGAGAGAAACAGAAATGGTGAGGTAGATAAGACAGCAGCACCAAGCAGCCACATATGAAATTACTGCAGTGACCTTGAATAAAAGAGCCATCAAGAAGGGAACAGGAGGCAGTGAAGAGGATAAGCAGCAATCATTCCAGACTGCCAAGAATTCCTTATGTTCGTGACACATTCCAGAAGAAGAGCTGCCGCCTAGTCAGTGGGGAATGGCAGGGCAAACTCTCCTGTATCCTGATGCCAGCTTTTCTCAGCTGCAACAAACCAGAGAAGGCATCCCTCTCATACGGCTCCAGCTCTTTTTTTCTTCCTTTTTTTACATGCAAGGCTTGGAAAGAGTTTCCTGGTGGAGTGGCTCTTCATTTCTGACTTGCCCAATAATATCCTGTCTTATTTTTTTTGAAGCATCATCCATATTTTACTCCCCATCAGAGAAAGGAGAATAGCCCTAACTTCAGAACTGGATAAATCCAGGGAAAGCATACCAACGGGAAGAAAATATGGATGGGAAAGGACATAGAGAAGAGGTGAAACTTTGCTGCTCTCCTTTTTCCTTCCTTGGTTGTCTCTCCATAGAGGAAGAAGGATGATAAACTGCATGTTTCTCAGAATAAAGGACTTTTATTTTACTTGAGCATCAAAAGCATTGACAGTATTGTAAAACCAAGGATGGAAAGAAGCCATTTCTTTTGCTCAGATGTGGTAGTAAATGGATGGAAGCAAATGGCCATGTGGGGTTATGGAAGCAATTTCTAGCAGAATACAATCCTCAAGCGCTGAAGGAAAGCATGAAAGGAAGACTACATCACTACATCAAGCAGTTGTCTTTAAAACTCCCCCAAGAAATTCAGGGTTTCTGAGAACAAATTTCTCCAGGGAGATTCCTGTTTCGAGAACTTTTCCTCTTCGTTTATTTTGTTTGCCCCCACCGCTTCTCTGAGAAGTCAAGGCAGGAAACAGACTTCCTCATCCTTTAAGGAAGCTGCTACACCGGCATCTAACTCTTTAACAACTTTCCATTGATTGGAAGGGACTGAAGGGTCTTTAAAAATTAAGATGAAAGACTGAAACTGGTAGAGTGCAAACAATGTCGACTTTCCACAGCTGACCCAAAACACATTGCCGGAGAAAGGGACTTCAAAAGGTTTCATAACGCAAGCGAGCAAACCAGTCCTGCTGCAATAGATGCGCTCATTCTGCCAGAGGGGGCTCTGGGCTTCTTCCCCGAGGACTGATGGCACCTCTGAGGGCACCTCTGAAAGAGGGACCTTCCCCAGCTGAGGCGCCGAGGGGACACTTGGGTTGATGGCGAGCCGTCTCCTCTGGTCAGGAGCACTCGTGGGTGGTCCCGCTCACGGGCTGCCACGTGGTTCGGGACCCTCGGCTGGCACTCACCGCTCTGCCCTCTGTGCGCGCATGCGACGAGGCGGCAGGCTGAGCCCAGCCCCACCAGCCGGAACATTACATAATCTTGCCGCGATCCCGATCTGGTCCCTGAGCCAAAGGAAGCCACAGGCAAACGAACAAGGGGTGGGGGGAAACTGGGGTGCCGGTTTGATTAGGAACACACACGCACACAACCTGCCTACCAGCGCGGGGAACACACGTACGCACCTAGGGGAAAATCCGGAGGAGTTGCTGGAGGCAGCCGCTGCCTAACAGAGGCCCGATCTTTCTAACTAAATGCACCGGGGGGAACGGGAACCGGGGGTGGGGTAGGGGGGTGTAAGCGGGAACCGTCGCGAACCAGCGACCTCAGGACACCACAACCCGCAAGAGCGACCGGAGGAAGGCAACCGGCTATCCCAGGCTGCCCGCCGCACCACCGTCATTCCGATACCGAGTGAGGGAAGCTGCCTCGTCGGCGCCAACCGCAACCATCGCCTCCTCTCCCTTGCCCCTGCTTTAGGGCAATATCCTCGGCGGGAAAGAAAGAAACGAGGATCTCCCGACGCGGCTGAAAACTTCAAGCCCCGTACTGCGGGGAGCCCGGGGAGGGGGAGGAGGGGAGGGCGTCCCTGCGGCTGAGTGTTGCCAAAGTACTGCTGACTCTCCGAGCGGGCTTCACTGCAGTCAGGAGAGCTCTCGGCGTCCAGAACTTTCCTTACACTCCCTCCTCCCTTCCCGGACCACTTTCCCAGTCGAGCCGCTGCCGCCGTCATACCTGCCGCCTCGGGTTCCTGCTCTTCGCCGGGGCTTGGTTCGGCAGCGCCATCGGGCAAGAGCGAGCGGGGATGGATCAGGTTTGCTAGAGACAGATGCAAAGCGATCACCAACGGAGGAAGAGGAGGAGGAGGAGGAGGAGGCGGAGCTGCGCCAAAGGAGGAGGGGCCTTCTCACCTCGGGCTTCGCCGCGCTCTTCCCTCCAGGGCCGGGGAGCCCGGACTGCGGGCGGCAGGTGGCGAGGTCCTCCTCAGCTGCTACCGCAGCTTAGCCCTGCCCAGAGCGAGCCCAACCCGGCATCCGTCAGCGCAGCGCTCCGCGCCTAACCCGCGCACCGGGTACCTGGCGCGGAGGTGGGGCGCACCGCCTTTCCACCGCCGCGTCAGGCAGGCCAGGTGCGCGCGCGTTCTGAGTGGGAGGAAGCTTGGTCTGCCCGTCACGGTGGAAAGTTGCTCGGCTCGCCGGACGGGACTGTTCGGATCATCTCCGGACCCTCGTGCGAGTCCTACCCGGTGGCTGCAACGTTGCTGCTGGTAAAGGCACCCTTTCTACCCTTTGACCGAACCCGCCTCGTACTTTCGCGCCTTCTCTCTGGAAATCTGGAGCGAGACCTGACCAAGATATTATGAAAGAGGAGCCAAGGAGGGCGGTGTTTTCAGCGGGCGCGAAAGGAGAACGGGGCCGGAATCCGACCAGCCCCTCTCTGCTTTTTTTTGGGATCGAAACTGTGAGGGAGGTTCGCTGGACTTTTCGGTCGCCCAAAAACCCAAAGCTGCACGCGAGGCCGCCCACCATGCGCTTTGGTGGTTTTTCGAGTCTCTTCAGCGAGATTTTGACAGGCGCGGGAGCCGCACTGAAACGGAGGTAAAGCCATTCCCACGAGCGAGGGAACGGCTTTACCACCATATAGAGCTTTCCTCGTCCTTTGCCGCCTGCCCCCAAAGCTCTCACCGGGCTCTTGCCTTTTCACGTCCTATCTGAATCAAAGGCGGGTGATTTTCGTGCGCGCGCACTTACTCACTGTAGTACCCGCTCTGTTTCCTCATAGCGGGTAATCCCTTCCCCATGTTCTCCCGAGTGAAAATAAATCTTCACCTTTCTGTGCACACTAAGCCTGCGAACTGGCTCCCTTTTCTCACCAAAACTCAAGATGTGAGAAGAACTTCTCTGCATTGTCGAAACGCCCAGTAGAATACAGGGTGGTTGGTCAACGCGCAGGTGTAGGGAAGCGTGGTCGACCCCCGGGCCCTACTGCTCAGGAAAGGCCTTAGCTTTCCCTTTCCACTGGTGAAAGTTATTAGGGAGCAGCAAGTCCGGAGAAATCCTTCCGAAGCCAGTTGCAATTCATCTGGGCGATTGGGAGGTGTGGTGTGGAGCTGGATGGGACTGCCAGTGAAGCAAGGCCAGGGAGCCAACCTAGTCTTGGCGCTGGATTTGAGACCTCCTTAAGGATGGCAGGTCTCTTGCATCCTAATCAGGATGCAATCTAGAGTGCTGCTGTCCTGCATGGGGCCACTGCTGCTGCTGCTGCTGCTGCCCTGGATCTTTCCGGAAAAGTTGGTCAGGCTGCTGAGGATTCATCTGGGCTTTTCCCCGGAGATTGCAGTGATTTCAGCAAATGGCAAAATGCAGAGGGCACTAGAGAGGTGGATTATAGGGGCCGTCAAACGCAGAAATGCTACCCCTAAGTAAATACTAAATACTACCTAGATAGCCATGTACCCTTCTTACAATTTGGTCCTCTGAAAGCTTTCAAAAATGCAAAATGATAGGGCTGTACACCATGCCACTTCCCCATTCAATCTTATATTCTCCATGTGATCCAGAAATATTTCAAGTGGAAATATACGTAACTTTGTTCAGCTAAACATACTTTTAGATCCCTACAGGATCAGGGAGTCCAACCTATTAGGATTTATCTAGGATTCTTTAGTTGCATTCAACCGAATGAAACTATACTTTATTCAAGGTTGTAAAAGCTATGTAAAGACCTATAAAAATTCTGCTTAAGGATGGTAGAAACAGGGAAGGTTTGGCTGTAGTTTCATAAAAGATACTGGGGAAAATGTCAAGGAATAAAAAAATCTACACGCTTGGAACAGTTTCTATCCGTGGGCCTTTTGAATCTGTGCCCATTCCTACTATCAGCAATCTGTGACCCTCAAATATTACTTGGTACTTGCCAAGTTTCATTTCTCAAGCTCCATTGCGATAAATGGTAGAAATTTGGAGAGAGGTGGATTATAGGGCCGTCAAACGCAGAAATGCTACCCCTAAGTGTAGCAATGCCAGACTTCCATTAATAAGGGGGCAGGATAGGTTGCTCACAGGAAAGTATAGTTCACTGACTTTGCAAAGACTGAGCCTCTCTACCAAGGCATCTTTGGAAAGAAGCTATAACATGGCTACGTTTATCTTAACCTTTTCTCAGCTGGGGTCTGCAGAGATCTCGGATTTTCTATTGAAACATTTTCATTCCATAGCCCATATTTTTTAATATATTCCAAGCAGTGTTGACTAGAGTGTTATAAGAAATTGAAGGCCAAATAACCAGAGACATTGCTAGAAGAATACCAAAAGTCTGCTTCCGGATTTTTAATAAAGACTGTTTCTTTTCAACTGATTGAGGACAATATATTGAGGACCCGGATTGTGGGGGCAATAAGCTGACTAAAATAAAAAAAAGAACACTGCTTAGGGGGGCCGAAAGCGGTACTAAGCAGGTATATACAAAAGTATGAAGGCTATTGCTTAACGCATTGTAAGCCGCCCTGAGTCTCCGGAGAAGGGTGGCATATAAATCGAACCAATAAATAAATAAATATTTTAACCGAATGGGGAGGGCATGCTCAGCAGCCCACTGTCTCTCTCTAAGTACTGGGAAAGCCATTTGACCCATTCTCCCCAAACAAATGATTTTGGCAAAGATTTTGGAATATGTGTCATGGCTGATCTCCATTTCCCATCCCTTGGCTTGAATAGGGCATGTGCTTATTAATTGTGATGCCAGTTCTGCAATTAGCAATGGACATATTGTTTACTAGACCCAGATGACAGAATAGAGATCAGACATGTAGAGAGTTGAGACTTAGGAAATTTTATTTAAAATATTATAAAGTTTATCCATGACATCTTAAACATACCTGGAATTATAGAACAATCCAGGCTGGCAATTAGTTAAATTCCTTGAAAAACAAGTTTTATCCCTAAATTTTGAATATGTGCCTAAATTTATAAATGTATGCGAATTTATAGTTTGCATCTAGGTATCCGATACCTGCTATTTGCAGAGAAAAATCAAAAAGCTGTATTTGTACTTTTCAAAGACTATCTTTCAAAGCAAGAAGCTTGAACATACCAAACCAAAGCAGAAACAGGTTATAGCTCTCCCCATACCCCATCGCTTCAGATTCTGTTAAGATTTCCATTCCTGCATTTTCGTAAGGAAAGGTGAAGTAGTAAGGATGGGTTTTAATTACCCCAACATTTTTGGGAGAGAAACTTTGCCAAATATGATTCTTCCAGGAAATGTATATATAACTCTTTTCTTTTAAAAGGTAAAGGAAGGCACAAGAGCACATCCTTTAGATCCTAATCAATAAGGAAGACTAAGGGAATATACCGAGAGATGGTTTAATGTGTTTTCCACCAGCCTGTGAGGCAACACAAAGAATGCCAGAATCAGTTTGCTCTGTATTGATAGCCAGCCTCTACTCTGCCCCGTTAACAAGACAGATAGGTGATGCTTTTCTCAGTTTTATTAGAGACAAATTAAGGTACAGTGATTTGTACCCTACTTTTCCCTCCCACCTGCCAGGCAGGAAAAACAAGCACCAACTGCCTTCATAATAGGAAGGATGAGAGAATCCTCTCTGGAGGTAGGGAGAGCTGGCAACTAGGGGAAGAGTGGGGAGCAAGCTTGGTAACTTTCAAAGCAGGACCCTACTCCTCAAGGCAGAATTTGGTAGGTGAACAGCAGCTGTCCCCTCAGGTCACTCAAGCTCTCTTTTCTTTCTGTGAAATTACGGTCTTTGCCAATAGTTGTGAGATGCATCTGGTGGTTGTTGTTGTTGTTGTTGTTTTTTGGGGGGCAAACTCTTCTTCCATTGTGCTCCTTGTCTCACGGCCAGAAGCACTTTGCTGGTGTTTCCCTCATTCCCATGCAGTGATGCTCCAGCCCATTACTCTGCTGCTGTTAGGATGACATGCTCTTCTAGAAAGACACTGATTTCTTTCTAGAGCAGGGGTGTCAAACTTGCACCATCATGTTGTCATCACGTGAGGTATCACAACTTCCCCCCCTTCAATAAACCAGGGGTGGGCGTGGCCAGCACGACACATCCGGCCTATGGGCCAGGAGTTTGATACCCCTGTTCTAGAGCTTTTTTCATCCTTCAGGATAATTGGTCAAGGCTTTTTCATTTTGCTGGTTCTACCATTTAGTGGCGCTGATCCATTCTGGTCCTGGAGCTTTCCTAGATTTTAATGATGGTTTCATTATTACTGCAAAAGTCCAAGATGCAAAAGCAGCTGATTAAGAGTGGGCAAGAATATCCTCCAGACCAAATCAGGTTGTGATTTCCTTCTCCCAATCTTCCCCAGTTTTTTTTTTTCTAAATGTGATCAGTGTTCAGGGGAAGGAAGGCAGAAGCAATTGGAAAAGAGGAGCATATTCACAGCTACCAAACACAATCATCACAGGCTGGGCAGATTTCAGTTGCTGTTGCATTATCATCACCACAATCACTTCTGAACCAGCACATATGGTAAATTTGCAAAGTCTGTGTTGGAAGAAGATGGAAAACATCTCTTTATAACACTTGGCTATAGGCAAGGGAGAAGAGGAAGCATGTGTCCTTCAATATAACTTCAAGATAATATGAGGATCTATGGATGTGCCCTTAGTCAAGGAAGTGGAGGTTACAGGAACAGTGAGGGAACGTGATTGGTCCATGCTGGAATTCTTGATTATAAAGGAATTTAAACCTGAGTGTACTTAGATTTGAAACATTTAAAAAGCAAATCTTTATACTTTCAGAGCAAAGAAAAATAGTCATTTCAAAATGAAATGAGATCAGCAGCAAATAAATTT